AATGTTTAAGTAATCAGTTTTTTTTTATCCTTTCATCGATGATACTAGGCTACAAAGGGAAATATTACTTTTTTAGAATAGAACAGAATAGAATACCTAAGTAAAATAATTTTTAGCGTATTAAGTTGAAACATTTATTTTAGATAATGAGTTATTCTTCACTGTTACCTGCTGTGGGGGAGGAGCCTAGGAAGGGGAGCTGAGAGCAGGGGGAGGGACTACAAGGTTGTTTCTGTTCAAAATTTTTCTAAGTTTTTGGGTTTCCAAAAAACTACATACAGCAGCTTTAAATAGAAATGAAATACTTTTTGCATTTTAAATAGTAAGAAGCAGAAAGTACAGATAATTGAATTAAAATATGAGGAGTAGAAGTAAAGTAGGCTGAAAAATAATTTCTACACTAATGTATAAATAACCAAAAAATTCTACTTAACTAAAGTAGCAAAGTATTTGTTTTATTTAGTTACTTGACACCTCTGATTTGAATGTGGTCTCTGTGRGAAACCTGATACAGAAATGTGGTTGTTTTATGACTGTCATGTTAGTGTAGTTAGAGTTAAAACCAGATGGTCTCTCTCTCTTGGCTGAAAAAAATCAACTGGTGATAATACACTAAAAACATTAGTTTTTAATTTTCCTGAACATGTAACCTGTTGTTCAGTCCAGTTATTTTCACCTAAGAAATATATCTAAACTGCACTCTCTGATACAGTATCTTATGATTGTTGTCACCAGTTTGCATTAAAGGCATGTAACCGCTTTTATTTGTATGTGAGTGCGTTTGTGTGTTAGTAAAATATCTCAAAACCCAGTGAACAGATTTCAMTACATCTCTCAGAAAGTAATCCTTTTAAATCCATCTACAGTTGATTAACAGTCAACTCAATTCAAGATGAAAGCTACAAGTAAACAATTTTAACAAACACAAGGTTAGCTGTAACYAAGTCAGGTAACATATTCAGCTCAAATTTGCTGTGGGAGTAGTTGAGAGTCATACCCAACACATATTTTGAACACTAACCACTTCTGCAAGATYTTTGTTTAAAACTTTAACATGCACAAAATTATAGTTTCCTGCTTTGARTAATGTTTTATCTGCTCTGCCTTTGTTCTATTAACAGAACGTTGTAAGTTAGTTTATTAAAACGTTAAATCTACACAAAAAGGATTTGATCACTCGTTACAGTGWCCCAACGGTGCCCGGGACAGGTCGGGGGCGGCTGGGAGGAGACTGACAGCAACAACAGCTCCTCTCACAACTCTTCTCAAGAAATGGCCTCCAATAGCAAGTCAGCTGGGACAAGGAGCCAATCAGGAGCCAGCAGAGAGAGCAACGGGGACCTCTCAGAGCGGTCAGTGGATACATTAACGAAAAGCGCTGATGTTATTCTAAAGAGAATTTTTCAACTAAAGTCATTAATAGAGACCCAAACTGATGGGTGCAGTAGTTTGGGCACTTTTGTCACTGCTTTCTATGGTTGAGGCTTACATGCTGGATTCTGGGGTCAGTACCARTAAGACTCTTTAAGCCAGAACCAGTGTTAATACTGTATATTCCAATGACTGAGATTAGATGCACTAAATGATGCTGTTAGTAATGTAACGCTTTAAAGGGATCCCTAATTAGTTGTAACATTAGACTTTATTTGATAAACATTTATTTGAAATGTAAAATAAAGACTATAAAAATAC